TTCATTCAAAAACCATTACGTTCATACATCTTGTTTTCAAAACAGTTTAAACATCAGAGTATTTCCCCATAACCATATCTCATAAAACATAAACATGAGGAGCGGTACGATCACGCCTTCGCCTTGCCACGATCTCCTGAAGCACCTGAAACAATAAACCACAATTGTAAGCCCGAAAGCTTAGTGAGTTTCCCCCAAAGTACCCATACACACACAAACATACACATACAGCAAAGAACAACATACTACGAGTCCATTCAACCTTCCGGTTGGAATACCCCCGGCCCTCAACCATCGGGTTGGAATGCCTACATAACGCGAGCCCAATCATCTTACCGGGATGGAATACTCTTGACCCACAACCATCGGGTTGGAATGCCCAAACACCTATACATACAACAATAGCTACTATGGGTCCAATCATCCCTTAGGATGGAATACCCCAGGCCCCTCAACCATCGGGTTGGAATGCCAACATACTATGAGTCCAATCATCCTACCGAGATGGAATACTCCTGGCCCACAACCATCGGGTTGGAATGCCTCACTTCCTATACATACAGTAACTACTACTACTATTATGGGTCCAATCATCCCTTGGAATGGAATACCCCAGGCCCCTCAACCATCGGGTTGGAATGCCAAACTACTATGAGTCCAATCATCCTACCGGGATGGAATACTCCTGGCCCACAACCATCGGGTTGGAATGCCAATCTACTCTAGCAGACATGCACACATATCAGGCAACCACATAACACTCTACAGAACTAGCACACTAGGGCCCTATCATCCTACCGGGATGGAATACCCTCTACCACTGCTCAACATACATAACCCGCATGTATCCTCCTACCAGCGTACATAATGCAAGACCCACTACCGGTCTATAAATAATCACTGCCCAACTACCAGGGCGCTGATCTAACAGAACTAGCCATCATACAACTATCCATCTCTCTAGGATACTAGGCAAAAGGCATACTCTCATATCACTATCTTATCCACCAGGATACTAGCAAGCATATCATCACATAATATAACAAGCTCTAACAACAATTCAAAGGGCCGGCCTTGGTGCCTTAGACCCTTGAGTACAGTGAGGAAAACTCACCTTGAACTGCTGAAACACTGCTGGTACCCTTCTGGCTGCTATCTGACAATCCCCGCACTGCTGCTCCTCTAGCTCCCCGAACTATCAATGCCACAATAACACTTAGCCCAAAACAATATCCTTCTAAGGGTAAATTGACCATTTTACCCTTAACCCAATCTGGTTCATGACTAAGGCCCAACACCATAATATGAAAGGTCCAACACTAGGTAAGCTTCTCAAGCCTACTAGTGACCCACTAATGGCCCAATTTGCTACATTGGGCCCAATCCCTTAATGGGCCTCACCCTAAGCCCAGAATATATTCCTTGGCCCATATAATATGATTTCTGATGGCCCACTAAGGCCTAAATACCCAAACATGCCCCAAACCACGGCCCAAAAACTCATGATCCATACAGACAGAGTACGCGGGGCGTACCCCCATGTACGCTAAGCGTACAGACAGAATGGTGAGCACGCTGGGCGTACCTGCACGTACGCTCCGCGTAATACCTCTGTTAAGACCTTTTCCCAATAAGTGCTTAATACTCAGATCTACAAGCTACCATTACAGATCCTAGTCCTTTTCCATATCTTAACCCATAAAGTCACTAACTTGGTGACTTGCAACCCACCAAATAAGCCCAAATCCATAAGGTGACTACATACTTCCATAACAAGGGCTAAATCTCATGCATGAACTCATTAGGACCATCAAGATTGCAACTTTATTACTTGTGGGACACTTTTAGCTCTGAGGGTGGCAACCCCAAGCTCAAAATCGAAGTTGCTCCAAAAAGGTCCATTCTTGGGACCAAAAAGTCCATAAAATTGTACCAAGAGAGATCTAAGAGATTATTCATCAAGCTCAAAGCTTTCTACCTTGAAGAGGTCCGAAATGAAACACTTGTCCCGGATCTATAAGCTCTAGCTTCCAAGGTTCCCCCTTCCCAATCTTCTTCATTTCTCTTCCAAGCTAAAAACCACCAAGATGAGCTTTTCAAGGCCAAGATCTCTAAAAATGGAGGTTGGAACGTTCTAGGGTTTCTTCTGAGGTTAGGGAGGCTGATATGGGGTCTAGGGTTGAAGCCATTATGTTCTATTTATAGTGGCTCAACCCAAATTAGGGTTTAATGAACTTTTGCGTACGCTGGGCGTACCTTTACGTACGCTGGGCGTACGCCTCACACCTCCGCGATCCAAAGTCCCGCTACGTTGGGCATAACTTAGCTTACGCTGGGCGTAGCCACGCGTGTCCAAAAGCATGCATGCCCCTTTTTCGACAACTTTTTCCATTAAGGGACCATAAATGACAACAACTTCAAAATGTTATAACTCCTTCATTCTAAGTCCGTTTCCGACGAACTTTATATCCACGATATGGTAGCGAGAAGCCCTACGCTTCTAACGACACACCCGGTCCGAAACCTTCTCGAATAAATCCCATTGCCCATAAAAGACCGAAACGCCCTTACTCTTGATCTCGGGGATCCATGAATAATGACTCTTAGAACGGGGCGTTACAGTCAGGGAAACTAATCCCTATTATACACGTAACATATCATACAGATAAAACTCATGACCAAAGCACGTAACCAGACCAAGATAATTATCACAAAGACAATCATCTCCTAAATACCCCTCTTTGGTGGGCCGGCATTGTGGCCTTAGACCCACCCCTACTGGAAGGTAACTCACCTCGTACGAGTAGCTGTTGATAATCAGTGCGGGAAACCTCTGTCCGCTGCTGCTCCGGAAATCCTCCGGCTACAATCCCCACAAAACACTCAGTCGGAATCTGATATCTACTCTTAGGGTAAAATGACTATTTTACCCCCAACCAAGTCCAAGTCAAAGTCAACTTCCAATTGACCCGACTCGCCGAGTTGGGCCGTCAACTCTTCGAGTCCCTTCCCTTTAGTCGTTCTTATCCACGACTCAACTCGTCGAGTTTGGCAACGACTCGACGAGTTCCCCATCTTTACGAACATCAATGAACCTTCATCCGACTCGTCGAGTCGTATGAACAACTCGTCGAGTTCACCTTCAACTGATGAACAAGTCCTGACCTTGACTCGCCGAGTTGTATGAACAACTCGTCGAGTTCATCTTCAAACATAAGAAGATTGCCTTGGACTCGCCGAGTCTGTTCTAGCACTCGTCGAGTCCCATGAACTCCAGGTCTAAAACTAAGTCCAATGCGTTGGGTCACTCTTTCTGTCCTGCTACAACCCTTCTAACACCCAACTGAGTTCTTTGACCCTCAACAGATATGGGACTCAAAGCCTTGGACTCGTCGAGTCCCAAGAACGGACTCGCCGAGTCGATAACGTCCACACCCTAAATCCTCGATTTCTGATGTACAAAACTTGTCCAAATGATAGATCCAAGCCCCTAAGCTCGATCTAGCACGTAAAGTTACGAACTTTACGTGCATGCATGGGACTTTTGAGCCAAAAAGGCTCTAAAATGGCTCTTTTGTTGCATGGGGCCTTCCTTGGGTGCAAAAGCAACCCAAATCTGCCTTGTGACTCTCCCCAAGTGCTAGATCCGAAGTCTTGACCCCCAACCATGTTTGCAAATCATGGTTGGTCACCTCATATGGCTTAAAAGCCCCAAATCCTCCCCAAAAAGGGATCTAACAAACAAGTAAGCAAGGTACAGACTTTATACCTTTCAAAGACTGCAAATGATGAACCAAACTCGAATCCTTCAGTTTCCTCTTGATCCTTCTATGCTCTTCCTTCTTCCTTGTGAACAAACCCACCAAAATCACCACAAATGCCTTTAGATCTTCACTCACTCGGCTAGGGTTTGCTATGGAGGGTCTTTGGGAGCAATAGGGGCGAGTGGTGGCTGAAAGAGATGATTAAATAGGGTGCAAACCCTCAGATTAAGGTTTTGTCCAGTCAGAGCCTACTCGTCGAGTCTGGCCGCCGACTCGACGAGTCCATCACTTAAGTCCCTCGTCCAATCTCACTCCTACTCGACGAGTTGGGCCTTCAACTCGCCGAGTCCTAGGCCAAAAATGCAAAATACAACAAAATAAATTACATACCAGGAACCGAGTGCTACAGATACTACCTGATGTTGGTGTTGTTGCATTCTCACAAGGAGAGGGGAGTCATCTTCTACATAGTATCTCTCGTAAAAGACATCACCACTCACAAAAGATTGGATTTCATTGCTATTATCGGGTCTCTAAAACTCAACTCATCGTGAAGTAGCTGCTGATCTGGTAAAAAATTTTGGGGCAAAATTGATTCGTCTCGTATGCGGCTTGACCTCCTGGTGTTTACTGCTTGCTCCATTTGTTGTTTGTTGTTTGTTGATTCCCTTTTTTCATAGTTAATTTAACTATCCATGGCTCCATGCCAGATCCTTGCTGTTTTGTAATCTGTCCAGCTTCAAGCTGGCTGTTTTTTTAATTTCAATAATACCCTACCGTTTAAAAAAAAAAAGTCTTATTTTTATTTATGTTAAGTCAATATCATTATATAGTTATTTAATATTTAATGTTGTCTGATTTTCAATGTTATTTGAAAAGTTGGAATAAACATGTGCTAAAACTGTAATTTATCAATTGCTTTATAATTTATTTATTTATTATTTTTTTTGTAAACCAACTATTTGGAAGTTAAGACATGTATTTCCACAAGTATCCGTTAACATACTTCTAAATTTGATACATAATATTGATGAATAAAAAATTTGGGCCTCAGGAAAACGAGTTGTATATTATAAGTTATCATAAAGTTGTATGTATGTATAAAGTAATCCAAAAATATCTTCAATGGATTTCTGTTTACATTTTGTCTGGTCGGCTTCCTCCTATCCTAATTCACCCACTTCTCCGCCCGCTATATTTTACTGATGGATTCACTGTTGCTCATGAGGTGTCTGAATGCGACAAGATAACGGATCGTACTCTATGCGTGTGTTAAACATTGTATGTGTGCGTGTTTCTTTACAGATCCAAAGATCTCTCCCGATATAAATATCCTCTTTTAATTATCAATCCATCTGTCTTCATATATACGTTAAATTATAAGATCACAGATCTTTCTATAAGGTTCTATCAATTGTCTGCCGCGATACGATGATATTAGGGTTCATAATCATCCAATTCAATTGGGTTTCTGATTCCTAACCCGGAATCGCAAGAAAAATACTCAATTGTCAGATGATTACCACAACCTTTTGATTTCCATTGAAGTTCGTCTGTGAAAGCCTAGTGATGTTAACGTCTTCCAAGTGTTCGACGAAATTACTCTGAGGTTTAAAGTGAAAGACTTTCTTTTCTGCTGTAAAGGAGGTATGTTACTCTTAGATATTGATCTTCCTGCATATAATTGTCCATTGGTTCCTTACTATTTTGAGTAATTTCCTTTTATGTCTATATAGCTTAGAACTTTTTACCCAAAATTAGGAAATCTCACTACATCTATTAACTATTAATTATTGGTGGTTGCACAGGATGCACTTCTTTTTAATTAATCGTTACTATTATGCTACATATAATTCAGTCCTTCTATCCCTTCTTATCATTCTACAAGACTAATTATTATGGGTTGGATGATTTAGGATCTTTCTTGTTGAATTCAAATTATTGTATTTCTATAAATAACATTACTGTTTTATTACGATTATGTAGAAAAATGGCAACACAGGTTGAGCCACCAAATGGGGTTAGATCAGAAGGGAAACACTATTTTTCTATGTGGCAAGCATTATTTGAAATTGATACCAAATATGTTCCCATTAAGCCAATTGGAAGAGGTGCATATGGTATTGTGTGTTCTTCTGTTAATCGTGAAACCAATGAGAAAGTTGCAATAAAGAAGATACACAATGCGTTTGACAACCGAATTGATGCCCTGAGAACATTGCGTGAGCTTAAGCTTCTTCGACATCTTAGACATGAAAATGTTATTGCTCTTAAAGATGTGATGGTGCCTATACACAGAAGAAGTTTCAAAGATGTGTATTTGGTTTATGAGCTTATGGATACTGATTTGCATCAGATTATTAAGTCATCTCAGGCTCTTACAAATGACCATTGCCAGTATTTCCTCTTTCAGGTATATTTTGACTCTAGAAAATAACTAGAATTTTGTAAATCTTGAACCAATTAGTTTTGTAAATCTTGAAAAGCTTGAAAATAACATGAATTTATAAATCTTGTTAAATCTTGTAAGTGTACCCTGCATAATGCAAGTCTTGAAATTTTTGAAAATAACCCGAATTTTGTAAATCTTGAAATAACCCGAATTATGTAAATCTTTGAAAAAGACCACAGATTTTTGTAAATCTTGAAAATAACCCGAATTTTGTAAATCTTGAAAATCTTGATTTGGGTTCTTTTCAAGATTTACATAATTCGGGCTATTTCAAGATTTTCAGGATTCGGGTTCTTTTCAAGATTTACAAAATTCGGTGTTTTTTATCTCCATACCCAAAAAACAACCCTGAATTTTGTAAATCTTGAAAACAAACCCGAATCTTAAAAATCTTGATTTGGGTTCTTTTCAAGATTTACATAATCAAAGGTTATATCAAGATTTTCAGGATTCGGGTTATGTTCAAGATTTACAAAATTCAGTTTTTTTTCTTTTCCATAACCAAAAAACAACCCTGAATTTTGTAAATCTTGAAAACAACCCCGAATCTTGAAAATCTTGATTTGGGTTTTGTTCAAGATTTACATAATTCAGACTATTTCAAGATTTTCAAGATTCAGGTTCTTTTCAAGATTTACAAAATTCGGTGTTTTTTATTTCCACACCCAAAAAAAAAAACCCAAATTTTGTAAATCTTGAATATAACCCCCAATTTAATTCTCAGTTATTGCGAGGCCTCAAGTATCTCCATTCAGCAAACATCCTCCACCGTGATTTAAAACCCGGAAACTTACTCATAAATGCAAATTGTGACCTAAAAATATGTGATTTTGGTCTTGCAAGAACAAGAACTACTAAAGATCAATTCATGACAGAATATGTTGTCACCCGTTGGTATAGAGCCCCAGAGCTCCTCCTTTGTTGTGACAACTATGGCACCTCCATTGACATTTGGTCTGTTGGTTGCATCTTTGCTGAACTTCTTGGAAGAAAACCTCTTTTTCCAGGCACAGAATGTCTTAATCAATTAAGACTAATCATAAACATTCTTGGAAGCCAAAGAGAAGATGACATTGAGTTTATTGATAACCCAAAAGCAAGAAAGTTCATAAAGTCACTTCCTTTCTCACAAGGGACTTCGTTTAATCGGTTGTATCCTCATGCACATCCGTTAGCTGTTGATTTGTTGCAAAAGATGTTGGTTTTTGATCCTTCAAAGAGGATTAGTGTGACTGAAGCACTTCATCATCCGTATATGTCATCACTTTATGACCCGAGGTGTGATCCTGTGGTTACATGTCCATTGGATATGGATATAGATGAGGATTTAGGGGAGGAGATGATAAGAGAGATGATGTGGAAAGAGATGCTTCATTATCATCCTGAAGTTGTTGCTAATGGTAATGCATAGGTAATGTTTCTTGTTACCATTATTGTTGTTGTTGTTGTTGTTGTTGTTGTTGTTGTTGTACACTAATTATGGATACATGAGAACGACTGAAATGCTTGTTTTATCTTGCATGAACGCGCTGATTTTATATCTTTTGAAATAAAGATTTATGAGATGAGCTTGAATTAGAGTGAATGTTTCATGTTGCATGACTATTTGTTGCTTTTTTTACCATTAAGTCATGTATGGATAAGATAAAGTGGTTGATTCTTTTTTAAACTAATAAATCATCTGAATTAAACTAAGAGAGTATTTGACAAAACAACTTATTAGTTTATTAGCTGTTTCATACTTCCATACCATTATAAGCTAAAAAAGTGTTTGGATAAAAATAGATTATAGTGGTCGTAAATAGCTAATAAGTCATTTTTTTTCATAAGTTAACTCCTTCTAACTTATTAGCTTATAAGTCAATAAGCTAATAAAATATTAACTAATCAGTAATAAGTTTTTTTTTTTGCCAAACACCCCCTAAGTGATCATTTTCCCTTTGCATCCAAACAAATTATTTTCACAACGTACATCAGTTCTAACAATATTAATTAGTTCTAACAATATCGATCAAGTTTAACATGAGAGGAGTTGGGTGGAAAAAATACCAATGACAAATACATAAAGGGTTGGAGTTTTAATACATTAAGCCGTTTTTTTTGTCTTAATTCATCAATTCATTATGTCTGGATTAGGTTAAAAAAACAACTATGTATAGTTTTTCCAGCTTTAACCCATAAAGTTTATTAAATTAAATGACAATATCCTTTAATGCTTATAAGGGCTATGAATATATAGGAATCGGCATTCTTGGTGTCTACTGATGCAACAATATGTTAAGCGGATAAAAACGAGAATTGACATTCTTAGTGTCTACTGATGCAACAATATGTTATGTGGATAAAAACGAGAATTGTAAGCATCTTATGATATTTAAATTATCAAATATCAATAACTTTTACCATCATTATTAATTTATAAGTGATTAAGAACGAACGATCCTTAGGCGATCAAGAATTTTCACCGACATGGTATTCAAAGGCGTCCTCAAGTTTGTCTCTAATAGTTAGATTTCAACCTTAGTTAATATGGGTCGGTCCAAACATCTCTATGGTAGGTAGTTTTTTTTCATTCTTAAATTCACCCAATATTATAAATACCTCATAGGCTCATACTTTCCAACCATTTTTCACACCCAAATCTCTCTAGAAATCCATAAAGCTTACAAATCTTCAATTTTCTAATTCAAACAAACGTCACATATCATTAGTTGAAGTAGTTCTTGTCTAATTTCGGTGTGTTTTGATAAAAATGCATCATATGGGGAAGTTTGCAAAGCAAAGCATACCACACTGATTTGGAATAACTTTGTGCAACTTTGAAAACACAACACATTCTTTGCTAGATGCAATCTATGCTACCAAGTTATTTTCGACTCCAATAGCATGCTCGATCAAACATAATATAAGTTTGCATAATTCTCGTAATCTTTTCAATAAGTTACGATTAATATATGATTTAGAATTTAGTGACTCGAATGAATAATCCGACCCAGAATGAAATGAAGAAAGCCCAAATGATGATTCCAAATGTACTTGTATATGGGCTTGGCTCTGTAGTTGCTAAAGTTTGCGGTTATAGGTATTCGTAGTTAAGGATACCAATGTAATCACTTTTGAAACGATCGAGTAATAAAAGTGTTCTCCGGCTCCTGTCCGTAGATCTATGTCATATCGACTGAACCATGTTAAATTCTTGTATAGTTTTATCACTTTCTTTTACTTTCTTGCGTAATAGTTAATTTTTAGTTTGGTTTTTTTAATTGGCTTAGTTTATTTAGCTTAATTTAATTTATAATTAGTTTAGTTTAATTTACGATTGGTTTCTTCTTAATTTATAACTAGTTTAGTTTAAGTAGTTTACTCTATTTATAATCATTCATTCCCATTACCTAATTTAATTATTAGTCCCAATTTATAAAAGAACCAACTACAATTGTAATGTAATTGATGAAGAATTCACACATAAGATGGTCGCAAAAATAGAAAACACTCGAGTCAATATAAAAGTCCTAATATCAACGTCCAAGGATGTAAAAGTACTCTAAGATAATAATGTAGCTTTGCAACATTGTGGTGACATGATATTAAAAATAGTCTAAGATAATAGTGTAGGGTGTATAATGACTCATGAATTGGTGTAAATTTCGGTGATTCTAAAGGACTACTATGATTCAATGAAGACAAAACAATACATATCTTCACAAACTCAACTGAACCAATCAAAATACCGCAAGACCAAAATGCTCTAGACCTAAAAAACACCTCCCATGACCGGATGGATCTTGACAAAGACTGAAAATAGATAATTTTGGGCTTAAGATCTTACAAATGCTATAGAGTTGGACCGCACTATACTGGTCTCAAATCAATGTAGAGCTGGATGTGCACCTGGTCAGAACGTTCTAGTCTAGTCATTTTTTGGAATGGTCCCATACGGTTTCAGGTGGTCTTTTTTGGTTCGGTCTTTTATTCAGATGAGTATTTTTTTTAATCTAGTCTTATGGTCTTTTCGTACTCTTTTTTCGGTTTGGTTCCACAGTTTTTACAGTTCGATTTTAGTTTCCGGTTTTTATGTTAATCAATGTGTGATTAATACGAAAATGCTATATTAAAATTTAGCAAAAATGATAAATTAGAATTTAATAAAAGAAAATAGGAAGAAGTTGGATAATGTATGATTAACAAATGTGTGATTGACCCAAAAGTGATATATATATATATATATATATATATATATATATATATATATATATCCCTAATCTAATAAATAAATACTAATTCGCCACGTGTCAATCTCCAAGCCCCTCAAAATCATATTTTCCCGCTTCTTTTACTAAACTGATTTTACCAAAATGACCTTCAATTCCTATACACACTGTCACACCCCCGAACCAGACGGTGGAAACGTCTGGGGGCTCGTGTGACTAACAATTGAAGAATCATCACAATGAATATACATGAATCATAACACAATCATCACCAACATTACATAACACAACTAGAATTGTTCACATCAAGTACATTGTTAAAATACATAAGTTCAAATTGTTAAAAGTACGATAAGTGCTATTACATAAAACGAAACCATACACACTTGCATATCTTCCAGCTTAACGGTTACCTGAGAATACAAGTTATTTGGAAAACGGTCAACATATATAATGTTGGTGAGTTCATAAGTATGTTTGAGTAAAAGTCTTTGTATCTTTCATAAAAACCCAGAAAATCCGATATTTTCTGTAAAATGTCTGAAAATGTTGTGAAAATCAAGTATAAATGCATGTGTGAATTTCATAGTTATAGCTTGTAAAAGAGCAGTTTAGTTTCATGGTATTGTGAATAGATGATAAATGTATATGAATAATTTCCCCCAGAAAATCCGATATTTTCTGTTTTATAACAATGTTTAGATTCTTGTATCGTTGAATAAGTTGTTTTGTATTGACACAATCGAAGAGTTTATCTTCAAAAGTTTACTTTTGGTATTGAATCCCTATATGAGCCGTTATAACCATTCATGATAATGACTAGGTCTCCCGTCTTGGTATTTTTTCCAAATGCCGGTCTTGCTAAGGATGTTGTCGCCCTAGACTGACCTAGTCTAGCTATAGCGAACAGCTAAGGCGTGGGGGGTCACCCCGTATAGATCTATACACAAACTCCCGCTTTCCTACCAGGAAACTCTGATTATAACTACAGGCTACGATTGTACACTCAGTGGTGCCAACCGACAAGTCTCACTAGATTCTCAACCTCTTTTTGTACTATGTTTAATGTTTAGTATATGTGAGATGTATTCGAAAGGTACATGATTAGGTATACGAAGTTTGATGATTGAGTAAAGGTATCATTTCGGTTTGCTAACACATGAAATTTACATTCCAAGCCCCATTAACATGTAATTAGGCCACAAAGGCCCAATCACATGTAAAGGGGTAATTTAGGCCCAATAGGCATGTTAATGGGCCACAAAGCCCAATAAACATGTAATCCATAATTCAGGCCCAAATTAACATGTAAGTAGGTTACAAAACCTAATAAACATGTCATGGAAAACATTGGGCTCATTACACACTTAATTGGGCCCTTAGGGCCCAATGGCCAAGAAATGTGAGTATTGGGCCCAATAAATAGTTTTTGACGTATTTCGTTCATTTGTTTTATTCAGTTGTTTGTTTTAGTTCGAGGCTTAATAAATTGATGATAAAAAAGCCTTCATTTTGTAAAAATGACATTTTTGGCCAATAATACTCCAATCTTTAATTAAGGCCCAAAGTTTTGTAAAAATGACGTTTTAGTCCGTAATTTATAAAAGTTTGCAATTTTGTCCCAAATGTCTATAAATTTACGGTTTTAACCCAAAATGTTATATTTTCATATTTAAAACCCTGTTTCGCAGAAAAATACATTTTCAGCCCCTTATTGGTAAAAGTTTACACTTTCGGCCCAATTTTGGAAAACTTTACATTTTTGGTCCAATTTGAATATAAATGATATTTTCACCTCTAAATTTGGTTTATTTACATTTCTGACTCAAACTTTGGCCAAATAACATTTTTAAACCTTAAATCTTCATTTTTTTCGCAAATTGGGCCCAAAGGCCGTGATGCCCAAAAGTTTGGCCCAATAAGCTTAAAATTTCATTTTTGACCCCTTTTAAAAGTATGTTTAGCAGAAAAATACCTTTTATTACATGTAGGACCTGTTTGGCCCTTTAAAAATAGAATTTTCACTTTTTACCCTTATCTTTTGTTTTCTTGACAATTTTGACCTTTAACAAGGTTTTTGTTGAATTCTTTTGCATCTTAAACATGTGTTCACTTTTGGCTTGGTAATATGATGTATATAGTGTTGTAGTTTTTAGATCTTTGCTACATCATACTTAAAATTTCGAGATTCACTAAGATCTAACACATTTTTACCAAATA